CCCCCCCCCGTTTCCTCGACTACGGTCTGGGAGCCGACAGGAAGTTCAACACTATGCATTGCTACCTCTAGTCAGGGTTAAGGTGAGCTTCAGGCAGTGTTGGGGGTAACGTGCTACAGTATGGAGTTTCAGTAACGTATTACTTGCATTACTAATGCAGTCGGGTAATTACTCATTACAATGCTCAGTAACTAAACGCAGGTTCAAGCTTCAACACAGCGTTTCCTGAAATGAATGGCGTTTCGTAGGGCTTCTTTTCCTAAATGAACAAGTCGCTGCACATTATCCTGTTTATGACCAGATACTAAATAAATTAGGAATTCACTCCCAATATTAATTTAATGATTATTGACTAAATGATCGGTTTTCTCTTTTTCTTCTCCACTAAGAATATTCCGTTTCTTGGTGCACCAACGGCTAGATCTGCGACAACAACATCTCCTTGGCAGCAAGGCAAGTTTATTTATATAGCACTTTCAATACAAGGCAATTCAAATTGTTTTAAAAAATGAAAGACATTAAGAAATGGCATTTAAAATCAGTCATTTAAAAGGAAGCTAATAAAATAAACATTAAAAGAAAAAGTACATGGATCAAAGTACAGTGCAGTCTAAGATATGAATAGTTCAATTAAAAGCAGCGACAAAAGAAAAGTCTTCAGCCTGGATGTAAAAGTAGTCAGAGTTGCAGCGACTAAGGGTGCAACAACTAATCGACTAATCGATCAAATCGATTACCAAATTAGTTGCAATTAATTCAGTCGTCGATTCATTGTGACGTCAGCAGTGTGTTTACGTGCGTAAGCTCCAACGTTATTGGTCTTTTTTTCAGTACCGGAGACATTTATAAATATATGTCATGTTTATTGCTACAAAAAACATTATATCGCAGTCTAGTGTCACAACTCGTTCTAATATGCAAAGGACAAACAAATGCGCCTATGATGTATTTTCGATCAGATGAGATCTCTCTCCCCCATCGCGAGGGGACGGGGCAGTTTACACACACAGCTGCTACATGCAGCGGAGCACACTGCGGAGGTGGCGGAGAGAACGCGCTCCGAGGCGTGGTTAACTTCACCTGCTTCGACGTGGAGAATGCTCGTTGCCAAAGTGCAATAAGAGTTTATTATGTAAGGGCGTAACACGAGCACTTTGTCTAAACATTTAGAAAAAGTGCTCCACATCCAGACGGAGGAATGCACCGGGTTCCACCGTCTTTCTAGCAGCTCCGTAGCTCCATTCACGAGTAACGTTCCCACGTCAGATGTTATGTATGCTAGCAGCAACACACAGAGTAACTACATTATACAAACTGGGTTAATGATTAGAGGTAACTGAATACTTATTAGTTTCAATTTCAGCTTTTCTGTTTACAGCCCGTCGACAGTTTATTTAATACGATTCGGTAAATGCTCAGGGCAATCTCGATGACAAGGTCAATGTTCCCCCCTTTCTACGCACGGAGATAATGTAATCTAATAGCGTGCAGGCCAAGGCTGGCTCTTCAAAGCAGATATTACGACGCGCTTTAATGTTCCCATCATCGTTCAGCGGAACTCTTTCAGCCTTAAGTCAAGTAGGAGAAACTATGCGTGCACCGGCTATTCGGGTAATAATATTAATAGCATCTCTCCCAGTTCAAATCACCCACTGCTCAGGGAGATCTCCTAATGCGTTGCCTTCACGCATCTAGCGTTCAAATACAACATTACTAAACTACAACTCCGCTCAACTGGGAAAAGAGAAGAAGAAACAGAAGAGACTCCTCCAGGAGCACAGCGTTCCTAATCATGAGGAACTACAGGCCCAGTCTCACACCGGAGTTCCTAGCCATCACATCAAGCTCATGGTATTATCGTTCCTCTAACCAACTGCGTGCATCCACATAAACGTCTTCAACGACAGTTGCTCTTCCTCACCGGGCAACCGTACTTTGCATGCAGATTCTTCGGCACGCATCATCTCCCGTTTCCTGGACGTGGCATCCGCCGGCCTCACGACGACCGTGTTTTCCCCGACTTAAGGACGTGCACTGCACATCCTCCGTTTTGGGGGGGATATCTGCATGAGATCATTCGCATAGCGGCACACTCAGATTTCCACTATTTCTACACATTTATTATCACACTTGCTGGATCTAACACCAGCGTCCCTCCATCATCCTCACTTCAGATGATAGAAGACAGTCTTAATCACTCAATCAGCTCATCAGCATCTATGACTCATCCCGGCACACTTAACGCTAATTAAGATATACTATAGCATGGGTCATGTCTCAGTATTTAACTAAGTGTACGTCTTTTCTGCGTGCATCCGGCACTTCATTCATATTCTCGGGTTCATGCTCACTTGGCTCGTGGTAAACCAGGTTACGATATTCATGCATCACCGTACTCAAGCTAACAGCTCTCGGGCATTATATCGTCTACATCTCCCTCTTCACCGGACATCGGCTCGTGCCGCCAATCAAGATCTCTTCAGTTTACCTATGGTAAATATGCATATAACTGGTGGTGGCGTCTAATAGCATATCAGGGCTTTCGTTCAGACAGGTGCAGCCATTCAAGGCATATCTCCCTCCTCCCTGCCAACTCGGACGGTGGTCCTCCTCCGCCTTCATATCCCACATTCGCCCGGACATCCGTGCGTGCTGGCCATCCAAGGTCCGAACACTAAACGGTATTTATACATACAACTGGTGGTGGTCTTAGCAAGTCAGCACATGTACGTGTCACCGTGTTCATGTTTAAACACTTCATATCGTCGTGACCTTCAGGTTCGCTCGTATTGAATCCTGCCGCGCAGGTTGCGGCCAGTGGGTCCGCATTATGTTTAAACCCTGCACGTGCAGGGCGAGTAGGTCAGTGTCATGTTTAACCCTGTGTGTACAGGTTGCGGCCTATGGGTCAGCATTTGTTTAACCCTGTGTGTGCAGGTTGCGGCCTATGGGTCAGCATTTGTTTAACCCTGTGTGTACAGGTTGCGGCCTATGGGTCAGCATTTGTTTAACCCTGCGTGTGCAGGTTGCGGCCTATGGGTCAGCATTTGTTTAACCCTGTGTGTACAGGTTGCGGCCTATGGGTCAGCATTTTGTTTAACCCTGTGTGTACAGGTTGCGGCCTATGGGTCAGCTTTTGTTTAACCCTGTGTGTACAGGTTGCGGCCAGCGGATCAGCGTCATGTTTAACCCTGCGCGTGCAGGTTGCGGCCGGTGGGTCAGCGTCATGTTTAACCCTGCGCGTGCAGGTTGCGGCCAGTGGGTCAGCATCGTCTAATCCAACATGCAGGCGCTAAGCATGGTTGGCGTTCACATTAACCCTACAGTTATTCCGACAATCTCATCATGTCCCTGTGTTATCTCATTTCATCCACAGATCTCCTCAATCAGCCAGCAAGGTAAGAAATGCTTCACATCTCAGCACTTCTTACTTCTCTTCTCTTTGGGGGTTCATCGGAGCGGTTTTCCCCTCCTGAATGATATCCTACAAACCGGGGCCTAATCTCCAAACATCAGTTGATTCATAGTTGTAATCTGTCAATCATAATTTTCTATACCACGTGTCCGGTATTAAACATGTATTTCATACATCACGTCTCTCATGATTGAAATGAAGCTTAGCGCAAGTTCAAGAAGGAAGACCATAACCCCTGGTGTTACACGTCACTGCAAGCTCTTCTCCCATTAAGTAATCAGGGGCGGTACTCCCCAGCTAGCAATCATTGCACCTGCTAAACCCTTTAAATCTGCTCTTCCCTCTCTGTCAGTTGTCATTTCAGGTGTCAACGCACAACCCGCCTCCACCCCTTCGCCTCCTGTCTCCTAATTCAGGGCCAAGCTAATCCTTCTTCCTCCAGACCAGACCGAACCATTATCACCACCACCAGTGTCTAGACCCCGGGGGGTTCATCGGAGCGGTTTTCCCCTCCTGAATGATATCCTACAAACCGGGGCCTAATCTCCAAACATCAGTTGATTCATTGTTGTAATCTGTCAATCATAATTTTCGATACCACGTGTCCGGTATTAAACATGTATTTCATACATCACGTCTCTCATGATTGAAGTAGAAAGTACAGGTATTTGAGTTCAACATGTAAGAAGTAGAAAGTACAGGTATTTGTGTTCAACATGTAAGAAGTAGAAAGTACAGGTATTTGTGTTCAACATGTAAGAAGTAGAAAGTACAGGTATTTGGGTTCAACATGTAAGAAGTAGAAAGTACAGGTATTTGAGTTCAACATGTAAGAAGTAGAAAGTACAGGTATTTGTGTTCAACATGTAAGAAGTAGAAAGTACAGGTATTTGTGTTCAACATGTAAGAAGTAGAAAGTACAGGTATTTGTGTTCAACATGTAAGAAGTAGAAAGTACAGGTATTTGAGTTCAACATGTGAGAAGTAGAAAGTACAGGTATTTGTGTTCAACGTGTAAGAAGTAGAAAGTACAGGTATTTGTGTTCAACATGTAAGAAGTAGAAAGTACAGGTATTTGTGTTCAACATGTAAGAAGTAGAAAGTACAGGTATTTGTGTTCAACATGTAAGAAGTAGAAAGTACAGGTATTTGAGTTCAACATGTAAGAAGTAGAAAGTACAGGTATTTGTGTTCAACATGTAAGAAGTAGAAAGTACAGGTATTTGAGTTCAACATGTGAGAAGTAGAAAGTACAGGTATTTGAGTTCAACATGTAAGAAGTAGAAAGTACAGGTATTTGAGTTCAACATGTAAGAAGTAGAAAGTACAGGTATTTGAGTTCAACATGTAAGAAGTAGAAAGTACAGGTATTTGAGCTCAACATGTGAGAAGTAGAAAGTACAGGTATTTGTGTTCAACATGTGAGAAGTAGAAAGTAAAAAGTCGTCAGAAAAATAAGTAGTGGAGTAAAGTACTGATACCAGAAACATTTAGTGAATGAAGTATTTGTACTCCATTACTTCCAACCTCTGCTCACATCACAATCACACAACAGAAACGAGGGGTTTTGATGTGTTTTATTCACCTGTTTGTCCAGGAGGCCGGACGCAGAGCCGTGGGAGCTGAGGATCTTCTCCAGCCGCCTCTTGTACTCGTCCATAGGGTTGTTGGAGGAGGAGGAGGCTGCAAGAGAAGCTTCCTTAGCCGGGGGGGGCACCAACTGCTCAGCTTTCACCGTCTCCATGCTCAGATTGCTGCAGATTTGCAATATGAAGTTATTCGCCGCTAGATCAACAACAACATCAAAAAGATCTTACTTACATTTTATTTCAATCAGTGAGATTTTATAGTGATGTTTGGCTCTATGACACCTGATGTACTTTATGATTCTGTGTTCTTCAAGTTTGTATCTTCTTGGTCGAATGCACTTATTGTAAGTCGTTTGGATAAAAGCCTCAGCTAAATGAAATGTACTAAAAGTACAGAAGTATTATCAATAAAATGTACTTTAAACATCACAAATTAAAGTACACTTTGTGCAGAATTGCTCTTTTAAAGGAGCCTCAATAATATATCAAGTGTCACGATCTGTCTGAGTTGTGTTTTCTCATGTCTAGATCTGTCTTTGGTTTCCTGTTTTATTTTGAAAAGTGTTCGCCCCCCGTCTTGCCTGTTGCTTCCTGTCTCTGTGTTCCCTCCTGCCTGATTACCTGATTGTGTTCACCTGGTGCCCCTGTGTTTTCTCCTCCCTCCTCACCTGTGTCTTGTGTGTGTGATTAGTCTTGTATGCATTTAAGTTCTGTTTTATTTTTGTCTGTCTTTGTTAGTTTCTTGACGTTGTTGGATGGTTTATGTTCTGAGCGACTTTATGTTTTGTCTTGCCCAGTTTTGACTTTGTTTGTCTGGCCTATTCTGGAAATAAAGGATTACTGCTTTCAACATATGTTCTGCATTTGGGTCCTATATATACCTCGCCATCCAGCCGTGACATCAAGTACCGTACTTGAGGAAATGCACTGAGTTACTTTCCACTGATGACCAAGGGTTATGTTAAGTCTCCAGGAAATGAATGTAAGTCTAAGTGATGTCCCCACAAGTGACAAAAAAAGTGATGTCCCCACAAGTGACTAAAAATAAACATGTGTGTGTCTGCCCTCACCGCTCTGTCACCATTATTGTATCTGGTCAGTTAAAAATAGCCAGCCCCCACTTTGTCACACACAAACTTACACACACACACACACACACACACACACACACACACACACACACACACACACACACTCTCAAGACAACACCTGTTACAGTGTCATCTATTCTGAGAGAGTCCAAATATGGTCAAACACACACACACACGCACACACACACACACACACACACTCACACACACACACACACACACACACACACACACACACACACACACACACACACACACACACACACACACACACACACACATACACACACATATACACATGCAAGACAAAAGGTATTTGTGTGTTTTTTTAGGTACTAACTGTGTCTGTTTACCTGCTTCCTCTCATTCATGCCCCCCCTCCCCAAATTCCTGTTGTAGCGACCCCCCCTGATGAAAAAGCATGGCTCCACCCACTAAGTTACGCAACCAATCACAGCCCTCCCCCTGAGTTTCAAGCGGCCAATCCCTTTAAAATTAACAACTTTTATAAGTATTTGTATACTTTTTAATCCTCTCGTTACATAACCATAACCAATACAACTAACTTAAAAACATATCTCAGTTTGGAAGAAGTAAACAACATTGGTAGATAAAGTCAATTGAGGATTATAGTTTTGTTAACACATATTATTTTGTATAACTCCAGGCTCTAATAACAGCAACCTTGTTTTCCTGCTGTTTTGTTGACATCATATTTGGAGATGTTATAACAACGCATAATTAATAAAATCCCTTCAAATGAGAATGTTAATCCATACTGCTGTTCTGTTGATGTCCAATTTTTACCATGTATACAAATGATATATAGGGGGATTCATTATTTACTCAAAGAGACAGTTAAAATAAAATCTGTTACGTTTTGTGAATTATCGTACGTTTTTATAGAACAATAATTCAACTTCAAACAGCATATACAAGGTCAAAACATTCAACAAACATAAATAAATGACATTTGAACTATATCTAAGCCTTAAAACATATTTTGGGCGTCATATCATATATTTTCCTCTTCTTCTTCCTACAAGCCACTTCATAACCTATCATTAAACTAAGACCAATACGTTTAAATGCATTACATGAACCTGTATAATGATCCCACTGTAAAAGGCGAGGACAGATCTTTACACTGACCTGGACTTATGGACAAAGCAACTAAACGTGCCATGGCAGCCATTATCATCCATTCATGTATGTGACCCTGTTATAGTTCATTATAGTCATATTTTTCCCACAACAAGTCAACTCACAGAAGAAGCACGACGTAGCAACAACACGATAACTTTTGTTGATATTAGGCTACAACTCAACATCGATGCAAACGTGATCAGAAACTTTAGAGAAACTAAATATTTGATAAGAGACAGAGAGAAGAAATATTCTTACCAGGATCAGTGGAGCGAAGGAGGTGAAGAAGAGACTGAAAGGAGGAGGAGGAGTTCCTGCTGACGGCACAACGACAGCTGACCCCCAAAATAACCTGACAGGCTCACACTCTGAGGCCTGTGTGTGTGTGTGTGTGTGTGTGTGTGTGTGTGTGTATGTGTGTGTGTGCGTGTGTGTGTGTGCGTGTGTGTGTGTGTGTGCGTGTGTGTGTGTGTGTGTGTGTGTGTGTGAGTGTGTGTGTGTGTGTGTGTGTGTGTGAGTGTGTGTGTGTGTGTGTGTGTGTGTGTGCGTGCGTGTGTGTGTGTGTGTGTGTGTGTGTGTGTGTGTGTGTGTGTGTGCGTGTGTGTGTGTGTGTAGGGGGGGGTATGTGTGTGCCTGTTGGTTGCACATAGTAAAGAATGTGTTTGTGTGTTACTTTGTTCTGGCTGTGTGTCTCGGCCAATTCAGAAATACATGTGATTGTAATCTGTGTAGGAGAATTGTAAAGTGTGAATGCTAGACTCTGTATCCATGTACAGAATACAAAGGGAAGCAAATCAATGACAAAAAAAGAGGCAAAACCAACACAACAACAAAAGTAAAGCAGCCCTGTAGCAGCTGTGCGGTGACACTATGATCATGTCCATGAGGAGAGGGAGCACACTGACCTTTATGTCATTAGACCATAGCATTAGACCCTCAGTTACCTCCATCTAGTGGACAGCTAGTAGAACTACATCAACTCTCACATTGATTCTGATACTTGTTACACCGGTTTTATATATAGAAATGTATTGATTGGGATAAACCCCTTGAGATGCACCATCTCGTTTTCAAGGGGGTCCCGACAATAGCAACAACTTACAGACAAACATAAACAAAAAGACAAAATGCAAAACATGACACACAAGACAAACCACACAGTCTGTTCAGTGAAATTCAAGCAATGCACACAATCATTACAATTTGAGACAGTCGAGCAAATCAGTTTCATCAATATCAGTTATAACAATATCAGTTATACAGGTTTCCACGTGACTCTGTAGTGATTTTAATATCAGCAGTTATTAGGGTGTGACAGCCACTTTGGATCAGATGCAGGCAGACTCAGGACTGCAGAGGAACACATGAGCAGAGTGTCCTCCACACAGGAAGCTGCAGAGGGTCTGGAAGTGGACCTGAAGTGAGTTCAGCAGGTGAGAATCCTCCCAGACGAATCTGCTCCATCATCAGGATCACTCTGATCACATTGTGCTGAGTCACTGTTCACCTGGACAGGTCACATGACTCTTGAAGCTGATTCTTAATGTCTGTTTGAAGTAGTGTGTATCATTTCTCTCTTAAAGTCAAAGAGTTAAAGAGGAGTGATTTTAGAAAGATTCAGTGTTTCTTGAGTAGAAAGAGCAGCAGTTTGATTGTTTTCTTGGATCACATCATCAGTAAAGAATGCAGGGCGTGTCTAAACCTGTCCGAGTTACGGTTCACGTCACTGAGGTGTTTTAGTTGTTTAACTCTTAACACTCTGAAGTTGAGTGCATGGAGGAAGTGTGAAGCGCTAAGATACAGCCACCTTCAAACACGGACTCTGACCTGGTTTCACTGGAGAGCTTTTAGCACAGGTCAGCTCTCAATAGGTTTACATTCAGGTCTGTTGTTATCAGTATTTAAACATTCTGACATCAACATCATCACCAGCAGAATGTACAGTGAGTGGACATAATGTGTTAATCCATGTTTATATTTCTATCAGGATCAAACATTGGAAACCTGGACCCAGCTGTGTGTCTAAGAGTGACTTCTCTATGGAGGCGTGTGGTGCAGTGGGTTGTTCGTTGGTGTTGGTTTCAGGGGGTCACAGGTTCAAACCCCACCGCAGTCAGCATGCCGTTGTGTCCCTGAAGACACTTCACCCCAAATTGCTCCTGAGGGGATTGCCCACAGTATCGTTTATGTAAGTCGCTTTGGATAAAAGCGTCTAACAAGTGACATGTCATGTAATGTAATGTAATCCACCGATTGAGTTGAAAGATGGACACCACTCTGATCCAAAGTAATATCTAAATTCTTGCAATCGGTATTAAAATAATTAGACATCAGAATTTAAACTGAATTTCAGTGTACCTTTGCAGTAATCAGAATTTGTGATTCTCTCAGGATACAACATGAGGAAACCCGACCTGAAACTGAAACTGGACCTGGAGCTGATTCTGGACCTGGACCCAGCTGTGTGTCCATGAAGAGTGATCGGTCTATGGGTGAACGTATTTACTTTAAAGACGGAGCCCCCTCATCTGATGCAAGGTAAGAATGTGAAATGTTTGTCTGTTATTATCAGTCTTTCCTGAGATGAGGTTTGATATGTCTTGAGCTATACATATTGTCCTAACTTTAGCTCATCGTAGTTTACATTTCAAAACATGTTGACAATCCACAAACAGCTGGCTGCCTGTTTGAGAATGTATTGGAACAATGGTAATGTGATTGTAAACCATCTTATGTATGCCGATGATCTGGCTATTGTTTCTCCTAGCAGTGCTGGTTTTCAACAGTTGCTAAATGTTTGTTCTGATTACGGAGTCAAATTTGACGTTAAATACAATGCTAAGAAGAGCGCTGTAATGATCTGCAGAGCAAAAGGGGATAAGAACCTTTGTTTTCCAACATTCTACCTGTCAGGACAGGTGCTGTCTGTTTGCTGTAACACTAAGTATCTGCTGTCTGTTTGCTATAACACTAAGTATCTGCTGTCTGTTTGCTATAACACTAAGTATCTGCTGTCTGTTAGCTGTGAAACTAAGTATCTGCTGTCTGTTTGCTGTTACACTAAGTATCTGCTGTCTGTTTGCTATAACACTAAGTATCTGCTGTCTGTTTGCTGTAACACTAAGTATCTGCTGTCTGTTAGCTGTAACACTAAGTATCTGCTGTCTGTTAGCTGTAACACTAAGTATCTGCTGTCTGTTAGCTATAACACTAAGTATCTGCTGTCTGTTTGCTATAACACTAAGTATCTGCTGTCTGTTAGCTGTGAAACTAAGTATCTGCTGTCTGTTTGCTGTTACACTAAGTATCTGCTGTCTGTTTGCTATAACACTAAGTATCTGCTGTCTGTTTGCTGTGACACTAAGTATCTGCTGTCTGTTTGCTGTGACACTAAGTATCTGCTGTCTGTTTGCTATAACACTAAGTATCTGCTGTCTGTTTGCTGTAACACTAAGTATCTGCTGTCTGTTAGCTATAACACTAAGTATCTGCTGTCTGTTTGCTATAACACTAAGTATCTGCTGTCTGTTTGCTGTGAAACTAAGTATCTGCTGTCTGTTTGCTATAACACTAAGTATCTGCTGTCTGTTTGCTATAACACTAAGTATCTGCTGTCTGTTTGCTATAACACTAAGTATCTGCTGTCTGTTTGCTGTGACACTAAGTATCTGCTGTCTGTTTGCTGTTACACTAAGTATCTGCTGTCTGTTTGCTGTGACACTAAGTATCTGCTGTCTGTTTGCTATAACACTAAGTATCTGCTGTCTGTTTGCTGTGACACTAAGTATCTGCTGTCTGTTTGCTGTGACACTAAGTATCTGCTGTCTGTTTGCTATAACACTAAGTATCTGCTGTCTGTTTGCTGTAACACTAAGTATCTGCTGTCTGTTTGCTGTAACACTAAGTATCTGCTGTCTGTTTGCTGTGACACTAAGTATCTGCTGTCTGTTTGCTATAACACTAAGTATCTGCTGTCTGTTAGCTGTAACACTAAGTATCTGCTGTCTGTTAGCTATAACACTAAGTATCTGCTGTCTGTTTGCTATAACACTAAGTATCTGCTGTCTGTTTGCTGTGACACTAAGTATCTGCTGTCTGTTTGCTATAACACTAAGTATCTGCTGTCTGTTTGCTGTGACACTAAGTATCTGCTGTCTGTTTGCTATAACACTAAGTATCTGCTGTCTGTTAGCTGTAACACTAAGTATCTGCTGTCTGTTTGCTATAACACTAAGTATCTGCTGTCTGTTTGCTATAACACTAAGTATCTGCTGTCTGTTTGCTGTGACACTAAGTATCTGCTGTCTGTTAGCTATAACACTAAGTATCTGCTGTCTGTTTGCTATAACACTAAGTATCTGCTGTCTGTTTGCTGTGAAACTAAGTATCTGCTGTCTGTTTGCTATAACACTAAGTATCTGCTGTCTGTTTGCTATAACACTAAGTATCTGCTGTCTGTTTGCTGTGACACTAAGTATCTGCTGTCTGTTTGCTGTTACACTAAGTATCTGCTGTCTGTTTGCTATAACACTAAGTATCTGCTGTCTGTTTGCTGTGACACTAAGTATCTGCTGTCTGTTTGCTATAACACTAAGTATCTGCTGTCTGTTTGCTGTGACACTAAGTATCTGCTGTCTGTTTGCTGTGACACTAAGTATCTGCTGTCTGTTTGCTATAACACTAAGTATCTGCTGTCTGTTTGCTGTAACACTAAGTATCTGCTGTCTGTTTGCTATAACACTAAGTATCTGCTGTCTGTTTGCTGTGACACTAAGTATCTGCTGTCTGTTTGCTATAACACTAAGTATCTGCTGTCTGTTTGCTGTGACACTAAGTATCTGCTGTCTGTTTGCTATAACACTAAGTATCTGCTGTCTGTTAGCTGTAACACTAAGTATCTGCTGTCTGTTTGCTATAACACTAAGTATCTGCTGTCTGTTTGCTATAACACTAAGTATCTGCTGTCTGTTTGCTGTGACACTAAGTATCTGGGACACGTCATCACAGATGAAATGGCTCATGATGATGACATGTATAGACAGCGGCGTGTCTTATATATGCAAGCCAACATGTTGGCTAGAAAACTCTCTTGGTGTTCAGATAAGGTTAAGGTGAACCTCTTTAGAGCGTATTGCACTCCTCTCTATACTGCCCCCTTGTGGGTCAAGTATAAGAAGGCGAGCCTCAAGAAGCTCCAGGTTGCATATAATGACTGTTTGCGTGTACTGCTTAGAAAACCAAGGCGGTGCAGTGCAAGTGAAATGTTCTGTAACGCACGAGTCAACACGTTCCATGCTCTTTTGAGAAATCGAATGTACAAATTCATCTGTCGATTGAATGTTTCTCATAACTCTGTCATTATGCTGCTGTCAAATCCGTGTTTCAGTGCGATACCAGTCACCTCTGTGGAAACATTGGTATAACTGCCTTTTTTAATTTATATTTGAGTGTTGTATGTTTTTGTAATAATGGACCAAGAGTCTCTTTAAATAAAAGATGATGATGATGAATGGGCCTCCCTTCATGCGTCTGCACAAATGATGAAAGCATTGGCGGTCAACCTAAATAAAATATAAAAATGTTCCTTTCATTTTTGTGCGACAACAACATTCATGTTTTTTTTTTATAGTAAAAGCTCTTTATGTAGAGATCAGACTCGCCTGCACCCAGCTGTGTTTCCATGAAAAGCAAAACATGGGTATTACAAATTAATTGTGTCAAAATTGTTAAAATGTACAGACTTGGTAGAATTCCAAACGGCACAAATCATGTTTAAGGCAAATCATAACGTTTTACCAGGAAACATCCAAAAAGTATTCACTCAACGTCAACGAGTGGGGGGATATAGTTCAAGGAGACAATTTCAATTCGAAATTCAACCAGAAGAACTTTTTGTATCTCAGCCTGTGGAGTGAGACTATGGAACAGTGTGAATGTGGAGCTAAAGGCTCCCCCACACGCCCGGAACCGCACACACATCCCAGAACTTTTAAGAAACTACAAGTATGGTCGTTGGAGTCGCTGAAGAGGACCCTTATTGTCGGGGACTCCAATCTCTCCCGCATCCCCCCCTTTACAGACCCCCACCTTCAGATAGATAGCTTTCCGGGTTCTAAATTCCATCACATAACCTCGATTCTCAATAAACTTCCCCCATGTCACAACACCTCACAAGTTATAATATCAGTAGGACTCAATAATGGACTCTCAGACACTGCACTCTCATCTTCGATTAAACAACTGCACGCCATGTGGAAACAGAGTACTCTCAAACGCCACCATTTACATCCCCATCATAAACTTTTCCAACAGTCTGACCACCCACCAGCAGACTGCACTCACCACACTCAACAACACCATAGCTTCCAAATACAACTTCATACCGGAAATAAACCCACTACTCTTCCATGTCACTTCACGTGACAACATACACTGGACCCTGCAGACGGCCGAGATGTTACTCAGGTACTGGAAGCAGCATTTCAACTACTGAACGGGGATCATAATTACTCATTACAACTCCCCAGCGCTCAAATATAACCAACCTCTCTGCCGTTTTCTCCCCCACGGCTGCACAGCTGGAGCTACTGGAAAAAGGTTTATCATTCATTCCAACACCCAAACTCCCCACCCGACCGGAGATCAGGGCGGACCTCCACGCCTTCCACAGGCGGATTAAGATCATGGACCACTTCCTGGGGAGCCGGGGGCGGGAGCCTGTTCTGTTCACCGGACCGTCCACCTGGGAACCACACACGGCAACATCAACACCTGAAATAACACAACTAATTAATAAAAATCTACTAGAACTCACACATTGGCGCCCCCTTCCACATAGCACACACAACATTAGCCAGGAACAATTACAAATGATTAAAACATTAGGTAACAGCCAACACATAGTCATCAAACCTGCAGGTAAGGGGGGCCAAATAGTCATACAAGATAGGGACAATTATATATTGGAAGCACATAGGCAGTTAAATGGCAACACATACTACAGATCACTGACGCACAACACTTCAATTGGAAACACAAACAGTAGTTAGGGACATTACAGCAACACTCTACACCAACAAGATCATAAACAAAAACAATATCTGGATGGTCCGGGGGAGCCCAGGCCCCGCCTCTTCTACCTGCTCCCCAAGATCCACGAGCCTGTGGAGACGTGGACGGTCCCCTCGGTGGTTCCGGTCGGCCGCCCCATCATCAGCGACTGCGGTTCAGAATCCTACAACATAACAGAATACATCGATCATTTTATGAATCCCCTATCAAAACTCCACCCCAGTTATCTCAGAGACACTTATGACTTTGTTAACAAAATAAAAAACCTCACAGTACCCAGCCACACTCTCATTTTCTCCATAGACATAGTCTCACTGTATACCAACATTGAAATCCCACTTGGCCTCACCGCAATTCAGCACTCCTTCAATAAAAACCCAGACCCTTCCAGACCCGACAGCCAAATCATTCAGTTGCTCCACCTCACACTCACCCGCAATGACTTCATGTTCAACAATAACCACTACCTCCAGCTGTGTGGTTGTGGGCCGGAAATATGTGCCAGCCTACGCGGATATTTACCTGGCCCATTGGGAGGAAACGGCCTTCACTAAACTCCCCCTCAAACCCCTGCTGTACTTCCGGTACTTGGATGACATCTTTGGCCTATGGCATCACACAGAACAGGACTTCCTCACCTTCTCAGACATCCTCAACACACATCACCCTAAAATAAAACTCAAACACCAGTTAAATACACACACTGTGGAGTTCCTCGACACTGGGGTCTTTTTCCGCGGCTCCGGCGACCACAGCAAGACACTCACCACCAGGGTTTTCTTTAAAGACACAGATCGCCACGCACTCCTCCATAAAACCAGCTATCACCCTGGGCACACGTACAGAGGTCTGATTAAGTCCCAGCTGATCCGCTTCCACAGGATATGCACCCTCGCGGAGGATGTGGAGGAGGCTACCAGAATCCTCTTTAGTGCGCTGAGACCTAGGGGCTATTCGAGGCGCTTCCTTAGAAGCATTAAGGCGGAGGTCAGACCTTCATAGAGAAATACAAAGACATCTCCGCCCGGCCGTCCGGCCCTACCCTGGTCCCCCTCATCACAACCTACTCAGGGAGCCTGACCAGCCTTTTAGGCAAACTAAAGGCCAATTTTGAGGGGGCCAGGGGTGGCTGTGACGTGCTGCGGCCGTGCCGGCTGATCTCTGCCTACCGGCGTAACAAAAATCTCCAGGACCTCCTGGTCCATACCAAACTGAATAAAAGCATTAAAACTAGGGAGGCGCCTCGAGTCTCTGAGGTTGGTTTCGTTTGCCTCCCCCACATTTTCAATCCCTTCTCTCGAGAGGGGAGCAATGTACGGCAGGCCTTGACACCTAACACAAAAAACGTTATTTATGCAATTAGGTGCAAGGCCTGCCAGAGACTCTATGTGGGGGAAACGCGCAATGAGATCAGCCTCAGAATTAAACAACACCAATATAGAATTAGAGACGGGGACGGCACGAGCGTTTTATACAACCATTTTAAACTCCATGGCCTCCAGAATGTACAGTCTATGGGCCTGGAGAGCAGCAGCGGCTGGAGCACGGGCCAGAGGCGAGCGGCGGAGCGGAGGTGGATCCATCGCCTGAGCACCATTGACCCGGGCGGACTAAATGAAAAATACAATTGATGGGTCCGCCTCCCACGACTTCCGTTCCGTGGTCCAGCTCCGCTCTGCACTTTTTAACCACTCTTTTGAAATGGTCTTGTCCTTACAGAGCTTTTACAATGCTTTTAAAAGGGTTTTTTATAAGGTTTATGTTTACGGAGGTTTTTAATGTTTTTTTAAACACCTATTTACCGAGAGCCAGTGCACTACGCAGTTTCATGTCTTGTTACATAAGGATAAATAATATTTGTTAAGTGTTATTATGGGAGAATTACTATTCTTGTGCTACTACTGCCTTATTAGGCCCATATTGAGCAGAGCATATTAAGACCAAACAACGTCCTTACTTGCAATAAATCAGCACTAATTAGAGGGTTATTGAGGAAAAACTCTCAACTAATAGCGTATTACTTGTAGAATATGGTCATGTAGAATAAGGCATTAATAAGTGTTTTATAATGACTAATAAAGAGCCAATATACTGCTCATATGCATATTAACTAACAACTAGTTGATGGTGAATGGTTAATTGGTGTACCTTAATATAAAGTGTTACCAAAAGTTCTTATTACAGCGCAAATTTAGCTAGCAGTGCTCTGAGCAGCTTCAGAGCACTGTGTTCTATCTTGCATACACTGCTAGAGTATTATGTTGTAGTATGATGTTGTCTGTGGGATTAATAGTGTTTCTAAGAAAGTACAGTTTGGTATGGTACATTTGATTTATGGCCCAGACAAAAGTGTGTGAAAGAGAGAATGATTGTGCGTGTAAAAGTGTTTAGCAATATGTATATAAGAGTTTAATGGTGTTTGTGTGAGATTCTGATATGATTTGTAAGACCAAGTATGAGATGTGAGGCCTCTCATATGTTGATGCTGATTCTAAATATCTATTTTACATTGTATCTATGATTTCTCTCTTAAAGTGGACCTATCATGCTATATTTGAATAATATATTGTAGGGCCATACCTCTATAAAACATGTGAAGTTATTTTTTTCAAAATACCAAAACTGATCATTCATTTTAGCCATGCCTCATTTCGCTCTATTTGCTCTTTTCCTGCCCTGTTTTTGCAAGGGCTGATTCTGTGAGAAGTCTTCTTCGCTGCAGACTACAGCGCCACTTACAGGCCTGGCATATGTACTACAGCGTCTCCAGCCCTTTCGAGCGGCAAGGGCCGGCCGTGGCCCAACCTCTCATTCCCCTGATAGGTGGAGAGTTGGCCATATAGGCGGAGCTCCTCGTTCCTGACGTCAGAACAGTGTTCAAATCTGTATCAGTCTGTATCAGATCCGTTGAAGCCCCGTTTTTAGAGATTTGGGTACGGAGGAAAATAGAGAGGGTTGTGTTTTCTGACACTTGGTGAGTTCCCTGGAACACGGGGGACACATATTCATGTGTAAAAGACGTACACAAGTGCATTTTGCATGATAGGTCCCCTTTAAGAAGAGTGATTTTAGAAATATTCAGTCAGTGCTTCTTGAGTAGAAAGAGCAGCAGTTTGTTTTCTTAGATCACATCATCAGTAAAGAATACAGGGCGTGTCTAAACTGGTCCGAGTTACGGTTCACGTCACTGAGGTGTTTTTATTTTGAGTGCATGGAGGAAGTGTGAAAGGCTAAGATACAGCCACCTTCAAACACGGACTCTGACCTGGTTTCACTGAAGAGCTTTTAGCACAGGTCAGCTCTCAATAGGTTTACATTCAGGTCTGTTGTTATCAGTATTTAAACATTCGGACATCAATATCATCACCAGCAGCATTTAAGTGTACAGTATTCAGTAATCAGTGTTTGTATTTCTGTCAGGATCAAACATTGGAAACCTGGACCCAGCTGTGTGTCTAAGAGTGACTCCTCTATGGATTCACCCATTGAGTTGAAAGATGGACACCACTCTGATCCAAAGTAACACATTATCTAATTAGTATTAAAACATTCAGACATCAGCATTTTTGTCAGAATGTCAGTGTGCCTTTGCATTCATCAGTTATCATTTAGTATTTGTGATTCTCTCAGGATCCAACATGAAGAAACTGGACCTGGACCCAGCTGTGTTTCCATGAAGAGTGACTGGTCTATGGACAAACCTATTGAGTTTACAGATGGAATGCACTCTGATAGGTCAAGGTAAGAATTTAAACTAGACGTTCTCCCTGGTTGTGATCAGTATCACAACCTTAAAATAACCCAAAAGATATTAGCAGAACTTTAGTATACACTTGCATTGATCTGTGTCTGTGACTCTATCAGGATCCAACATGAGCAAACTGGACCTGGACCCAGCTGTGTGTCCATGAAGAGTGACCGGTCTATGGGTGAACGTATTTACTTTAAAGACGGAGCCCCCTCAGCTGATGAAAGGTAAGAATGTGAAATATTTGTCTGTTATTATCAGTCTTTCCTGAGATGAGGTTTGATGTGTCTTGAGCTATAGAGTGGCGAAGTCACGCCCATCTACTTCCGGTCCATGGGACCTTATTTCTGAAAAATTAAGTCAATGGAGAGAGAAAACTTATCTTTCGATCCCGTTTGAATTGTGCCATGACACATATGATGTTTGTCAATCTTTAAAAAAAATGTCCATGTTAAAAAAGTCACAGTTTGTCGTAAAACTGTTGAAATATAAGACGCAACTAGAAAGACTACAAATCCCAGAGTCGCGTAAGTGATGTCACAATTGTTTTCCTCCACTAAGTAAGAGATAGCTAAGATAAGATAACTTTAACAAGATGCCTGTGTGCTTAGTACCAGGTTGTTATCATACCAGCAATGGGTCTTGCTCGTTCTTTCGCTTCCCGTCTGATGAAAGGACCAGGAGTGGCTGGATCAAGTTAGCTACCTAGCTAGTAGCTAGCACGTTAGTTAGCATTACAGCCTTGTCATTTTTATTAGCCTTAACATGAAGTAACATGAAGTAACCCAACATGTTAAACAGTAAGAGTAGTAGTAATATTTCGTGAACCCTTTGAAGAGTACTGTCACCGGTGTGATCATTCTATAATACACAATTTAAGCCCGGGGGAGAAATGCTAACGCTACATTAGCATCGGCGATCTGTTCTACTTCATGCTATCTGCACTAATGGTTAACATTAGACATTAAAAAGACCAGGCAGTTCAGAGAGAATCAAAGGAAGGCAGGCAGCTTTGCATGACATTCTTCTGGACGTGTTTCATTGTGGTGATAGTGAGGGTGAGAGGGTGATAGTGAGGGTGAGAGGGTGATAGTGAGGGTGAGAGGGTGATAGTGAGGGTGAGAGGGTGATAGTGAGGGTGAGAGGGTGATAGTGAGGGTGAGAGGGTGATAGTGAGGGTGAGAGGGTGATAGTGAGGGTGAGAGGGTGATAGTGAGGGTGAGAGGGTGATAGTGAGGGTAGGCAATCCCTTTTGTTGACAAGATAGTAGTGACGGCCATCTTGGTGACGTGTGTTGTTGTGCGAGACCAGAGATGTAGTGCATTGACCGTTTCACACAAACAAATGTGTTAATTAACAGTTTTACGACAAATTAGTTTTTTTGACTTGCAAAATTATCTTTTAAATTGACAAACATCATATGTGTAATTCGTGGCACAATTCAAACGGGATCAAAAGATAATCTTTCTCTCTCCATTGACTTCAAAACATAATTTTTCCGAAATAAGGTCCCATGGAGGTCCACCGGAAGGGGAGGGACTTCGCCTCTCTATACATTTTGTCATAACTTTAGCTGATCGTAGTTTACATTTCAAAACACGTTTAAAATCCACAGACAGCTGGCTGCCTGTTTGAGAATGTATTGGAACAATGAGCCTCCCTTCATGGTTCTGCACCAAATATGAAAGCATTGGCGGTCAATCTAAATCAACATTTTCCGGGGTTGGAAAATATCAAAATGTAATTTTTTTGATTGTGAAAGTGTCAGGTTTGGCAAGATTGCAGACCCAAAAGCAATGTAAATAAGGAGGCAGATAAGGGGGTGTAAATTATGGTGAGCTTTTAATTAAATAAAAAGCAGTTACAATACAAAAAACAACAGGAGCAGGCAAGGGGGAACAAAAGAGAAAGTAACAAACAAACCGGTGCCAGAGGAGGGCAGAACAGGGAAATCCAGAACACCAGGAACAGGAGAAAAAAAAACAGACAACGAACTGACCAGGGATACAAGGGCAAGCAAGACTACATACTCACAAGACAAGACACAGCTGGAGAGGGGAGGTGAAACACAGGGGCAACAGGTGAACACAATCAGACAGGAAGCAAATGAAGACACGAGACAGGGGTGAACACCTATCAAAGTAAAACGGGACAGATCTTGACATTACAAAATAAAACAGAAAATAAACAAATCCTACCAGAAAGCTCTGTGTGTTTAGAGATGTGCAGCGATCAGACTATTCTGCACCCAGCTGTGTTTCCATGAAAAGCAAAACATGGGTATTACAAATTAATTGTGTGTTTCTACCTTAATTAATAATGCAGAAGTGTGTGTGTGTGTGTGTGTGTGTGTGTGTTTCACAGAGTTCCTCAGCAGAGCTTGAAGGTCCCCAGTGGTCAGTCGGCCCAGCAGCATCAATCTGACCTGGACTCCATATTCATGGTGTGTAAATGTAGCAGAGCTGCTCCTGCTGACTCCAGCAGCCTCACTCAGTCGTGAAGCAGCATTGTGATCCAGAGTCCAGGCTGCAGTCTGCAGATAGTCAGGCTTTCTGTCTCACACATGATCTGATGTTGACTTCTACCAGTTCAACTCTACAACTTACTCTGTTCCAGCTGCTCCAGGAAAACATTGTTGGATTTGTGGAGGACGAGCTGAAGAAGATCCAGAGAGTCCTGAGTTCAGATTACCCAGAAAGCTTAGAGAGTCAGAGGGAGGATGAGGAGGTGTTGGACAGTGAGGATGAAGAGCAGAGGAGGAGCAGCAGAGAGGCATTTCTGAACATCACCCTGCACTTCCTGAGGAGCATGAAGCAGGAGGAGCTGGCTGAGCGTCTGCAGAGCAGTAAGAGGATTTAACAGAACCTGTTAAGCCCCATCCCCCCGCCGGCGGAGGGAAAAATTCATCATATGCAGGAAACAGCGTCTGAGGGCTTCTTAATATTGAATAAACTATGAATGTTTCATATCCATGTAACGGGAAGAAAATCAGCTAACTGATGATATGAACAATGTTTAGCAAAAAAAAACACAAGACTAATGCTGAGCCTCTGAATTAGCTCTGAGTGAAAAAATCTTAACGCCGTTAGCACAGAACTCACGGTATAAAACCCTTATTACTTATTGTAAATGCAAATCCAACCCATTGATTAGCATCGTGAGATTACACAGATTCGATGGGCATCTGTATGGCACTCCATGATCAGAACTCGCAACATGAGAAACAAAAACAGACATCAAACCACGTGGCATTAGGTAGCCAACACGGCAATATGTCTTACCTCTGTCGTTTTCTGATCAAAAGTTGTCTCCAATGGCATTACAACGATAAAACGCTGCTGAAGGTTAATCCATAGGCTAAACAGGTGATAATTGGGGGAGACATCCTCTCTTTAATTTAATCTATGATTTACTCTTTCCAGGATCCAGTGCTGGAGTGTGTCAGCGTAAACTTAAATCCACCCTGAAGGAGAGGTTCCAGTGTGTGTTTGAGGGCATCGCTAAAGCAGGAAACCCAACGCTTCTGAACCAGATCTACACAGAGCTCTACATCACAGAGGGGGGGTCTGCAGTGGTCAATGCTGAACATGAGGTCAGACAGATTGAAACAGCATCCAGGAAACCAGACAGACCAGAAACAACCATCAGACAAGAAGACCTCTTTAAAGCCTCACCTGGAAGAGATGCACCAATCAGAGCAGTGCTGACAAAGGGAGTGGCTGGCATTGGGAAAACAGTCTTAACACAGAAGTTCACTCTGGACTGGGCTGAAGGCAAAGCCAACCAGGACATCCAGTTCATATTTCCATTCACCTTCAGAGAGCTGAATGTGGTGAGAGAGAACAAGTACAGCTTGGTGGAACTTGTTCATCACTTCTTCCCTGAAACCAGAGACGCAGGAATCTGCAGGTTTGATCAGTTCCCGGTCGTGTTCATCTTTGACGGTCTGGATGAGTGTCGACTTCCTCTGGACTTCCTCAACACTGAGATCCTGACTGATGTCACAGAGTCCACCTCAGTGGATGTGCTGCTGACAAACCTCATCAGGGGGAAGCTGCTTCCCTCTGCTCGCCTCTGGATAACCACACGACCTGCAGCAGCCAATCAGATCCCTCCTGAGTGTGTGGACATGGTGACAGAGGTCCGAGGGTTCACTGACCCACAGAAGGAGGAGTACTTCAGGAAGAGATTCAGAGATCAGGAGCAGGCCGGCACCATCATCTCCCACATCAAGACCTCACGAAGCCTCCACATCATGTGCCACATCCCAGTCTTCTGCTGGATCTCTGCTTCAGTTCTGGAGGAGGTGTTGAAAACCAGAGAGGGGGGAGAGCTGCCCAAGACCCTGACTGAGATGTACATCCACTTCCTGGTGGTTCAGTCCAAAGTGAAGAACATCAAGTATGATGGAGGAGCAGAGACAGATCCACACTGGAGTCCAGAGAGCAGGATGATGATGGAGTCTCTGGGAAAACTGGCCTTTGAGCAGCTGCTGAAAGGCAACCTGATCTTCTATGAGTCCGACCTGACAGAGTGTGGCATCGATATCAGAGCAGCCTCAGTGTACTCAGGAGTGTTCACACAGGTCTTTAGAGAGGAGAGAGGACTGTACCAGAAGGACAAGGTGTTCTGCTTCGTCCATCTGAGCGTTCAGGAGTTTCTGGCTGCTCTTCATGTCCATCTGACCTTCATCACCTCTGGAGTCAACCTGCTGTCAGAAGAACCAACAACCTCCTGGCTGCCTATAGTCTTCAGAGACAAACCTAAACTAACACATCTGTACCAGAGTGCTGTGGACCAGGCCTTACAGAGTCCAAACGGACACCTGGACTTGTTCCTCCGCTTCCTCCTGGGTCTTTCTCTGGAGACCAATCAAACTGTGTTACAAGGCCTGCTGAAAAAAACACGAAAAAGCTTGGATACCAACCAGAAAACGGTCCAGTACATCAAGAATAAGATCGAAGAGACGCCCTCTGCAGAGAGAAGCATCAACCTGTTCCACTGTCTGAATGAACTGAATGATCGTTCTCTAGTGGAGGAGATCCAACAGTACCTGAGTTCAGGAAGTCTCTCTAAAGTTAAACTGTCTCCTGCTCAGTGGTCAGCTCTGGTCTTCTTCTTACTGTCATCAGAAGAAGATCTGGATGTGTTTGACCTCAAGAAATACTGTGCTTCAGAGGAGGCTCTTCTGAGGCTGCTGCCAGTGGTCAAAGCCTCCAGGAAAGCTCTGTAAGTGGAGATAAAAACAACAAATAACTATCCTCAGTTTTAGACAAGAGAATTTTATAGTTTGCTTTGTTAATATCTGATCCTTCCCCAGGCTGAGTGGCTGTAACCTGTCAGAGAGAAGCTGTGCAGCTCTGTCCTCAGTCCTCAGCTCCCAGTCCTCTAGTCTGAGAGATCTGGACCTGAGTAACAACGACCTGCAGGATTCAGGAGTGAAGCTGCTGTCTGCTGGACTGGAGAGTCCAAAATGTAACCTGGAAACCCTCAGGTCAGGATTCAGCTTTTTTAAAAACAGTTTAACCTTTAAAACTAGTTATCCATCTTTTGGTTCACATTATTGAAGATTTACATTGTTTGTTTTTTTGGTTTAAGGCGAGACACGGCAGGCAAAAACATCGTTTTTCATGCACTGGTGAATTTTGAGAGTTTGTGCTATTTTGATTCTATAACATGTTTTCTTTCATGCTTTTGGAAGGAAAACGTACAAAATACACATTTAAGTGTTTAGATTACTATAATTTGCGTCTGTAGCTTTCTCCTAAATTCACCAAAAGTTAGCATTCTAACGCAGACCCGGCGCCAGAACAAATTCTAAAGGGAGGGCCTATGATTTTCATGGGAGGGCACACAAAACCGTCACGTGCTGCGGGCCTGCGGCACAATATATATCAAACAGCAAGGCCAACGGCATTGCGTAAAGACGCACACTTATCGCAAACATACACAAATAAAGGGCAACATAGAAACCACTTTGAAACATTGTGTGCGTGGCAGCACAGACACTGGTAAATCACGAGCAAGGCACACTGGTTAAGGATGGCAACTTCCTCATCGCTGCACTCGGAGAGAAATAGTAGAGACGGAGACGATGAACTGTTTAGCCCGCCTTGGGCATGGTTTATGTTTCTATGCACTGCACTCGGACATGCTGTGGAGTGAATCGAGTCACCTCTGAGAGGGAGTTGGTTGACAGCTAAAAAAGCTATAATATCAACGACAGCTGACACGTAATAACGGCTCCGTGCAGCTGATCTGCACCAAAGTTCTAATTTCCTTATTTGTTTCCTCGCGTATCTCTCTCTCCACACACTCTCACATGAAATATGTTCTTTTGATGCGGCATGCCTTAGCAGTCCTTTATCAGTCTGTAATGCGTGTTTCCAGTCGCAAAAACCTTTGACAGTAAAAGCCGCATCAGATGAAGACGTATTTACTTTAAACTGTCTACAGGGGAAACAAAAGGCTGCGTCTGCTTTTAACGAATATTCAAGCCGGTCTGTTGTTGTGCCATGCAGCGGCAAAAGTGCGCTTCTTTCCTGAAAACAATCTCCCTGGATAACAATCCAGTTTCACCTGCTTGGGTTTATTAACCCCAAGATCATCGCTAACTCAGCCCCGGGGTTTGCCGAGGTCAAGCTTGTGACATTAAGGCGTGCTGCTGCAACGGCAGGTGCAGGGTCGCCAGCCAGCACCATCGGCTGCAGTTCTTTCATCGCTATTTCGTTTTAATAAATCCTTAGACCTTTTAAGCCGATTTCTGATGTCCATTTTGTAATTCAAACAGAAATGGGAGTCTACAGAATGCACAATAAACAAATCCAGAATAGAGTGTGACGGTGTGATTGGTCTAAATGGGGACGAATCACAAATCACAACAGACACATGCATTTATTTGACGTAGCCTGCGATTTTTTTTTTTTAGTTCTGACATCACATACATCGTAGCATAAAAGTTCACAGTTTATTTATAATTTAAAAAATAAAATATATATATATGTTTTTTAATTTTTATAAATAATAAAAAACGTGTTTATTGGGGGAGGGCAGGAATGTCAAATGGGAGGGCCTGGCCCTCCCTGGCCCTCCCCGGCGCCGGGCATGTTCTAACGTAACATAAAGTACCGCGACCGCTGTGTGCACCATGTCAACAGAGGTATCGCTGGAAAGCTCATTTTCTCCTACACAATCTCATCGGATCCAAATATGGTCATTTCCTTTGTATCAGCAATAGTGCTGCGTACCGGTACGCCGAACCGGTACTGGACTTGTAAAAAGTTTCGGTTCAAGTCCGGTTAAAACCGGAACGTCGGGAACCGGTACTTGGACTCGCAAAAAAACGAGCACTTACGTATATTCTGGTGTCTGTGGTTATTTAAACATTCCCTGATAAGCGTTATTCAGCATCAATAAATTAGTGCTAATCCCAGTGTGCTCAGTGTACAACATCACATGTCATTTCACCTTCGATTCACGGTTTGAAAACCTAGCATTTCGCCACATGCTAATGCTAACCGGAAGTGAATAATTTTCAGAATAAAAGTATTAAGTTAATAGTGTGAACTTCCGATTTTTTCAGAATAAAACTGATTTAAATTAAATAGTGTATTTAATTCAAAATTACGCCATATCAACATTGATTTTAATTTCTAACAGTATGTATATCACTATGTATGTAGTATGTACTGTATAATGTACACATGTAGAGTTGTAGAAAAGTGTTTTTTTACATTTGTACTTTGTAGAGAAATGTAGACACAAGTTGGAAGGGAGCACAATAAACCTGACGAGTTTGAATTTGAGTTGATTATGAGTTAATGTTCAATTGATAATTAACTCACAATAAGTTCACTTTAGTTTTCACACAACTTGACACAAGCCATGGGTTCAGGTCCGGACTTATAAGTCCGGACCTGAACCTGAACCGCTGGACTTGAGTCCGGACCTGAACCTGAGTGTGAGTCTAGGTACGCAGCACTAATCAGCAACCAATCGTGAAAGTACAAAGGGGTCTTAAACCAAGAAACGAAATCTCATTGGCTGGTGTCAATTTCTGACAACGTGAGTCGTTCAGATGCATCACGTGGTGTGCTAAAACACTTCCTGGTTAGCTTTCCGCTAGAAATTTAAATCTCAAAATGGCAAAAGAATGGCGAAAAAAAATGTTCGCAGAGAAGATGACAACAATTGTCACTTGCACGAAGTAAGGTTATACAAAAAATGACCACGAACATGAAATACCTTCACGGAGTGCGTCGAGGCGCAAGCTGTCATCCAAAGAACAGGAGGGTTTAGCTAGCAATCTTTAAAGGTCGTTTTCTCAAAATGAGTTTTTTCTCCTACTCTGAGTTCGAAATGTCAACTTCAGTAGCACGTACATACACCAAACCTTCCAGTTATATTCCTATCAATATTATGAAGGCTTTTACTGAAAATAATATTTTTTAAATATGCGCATATTTAATGAGATAATGGTTCATTTGCATATTTAAACATGCTATCTCAGAACACTTGTAATACAAAAAACAATAGCCTTATTGTAAGTAATTAACTGGAGAATTTTCTAGCTGATATCTTTAAGTTAAAAATAAATTACCCTATTCACCTGGGGTGTCTCGCCTTAAAGCACCAAGTTTTTCCTAACATCTCACTTAATGTTCCTGGTTCCAGTCTGTCAGGCTGTCTGGTCTCAGAGGAAGGCTGTGTTTCTCTGGCTTCAGCTCTGAGCTCCAACCCCTCCCATCTGAGAGAGCTGGACCTGAGCTACAATCATCCAGGAGACTCAGGAGAGAAGCTGCTGTCTGCTGGACTGGACGATCCACTCTGGAGACTGGACACTCTCAGGTATCGACATAAAACAATATCTCACAGACTTCTGGGGCCTCTAATTTCTCAAATGTCATCTCCTTCATTTCTGATCCGTCAGGAGGTCATCTTGCTTCTCTTAATTATGTTCAGAACTGTCAGTAATCCGGGTTAGGAAATGCATGGACCCCTAAAAATAACATGAAATCATTATTACAAACATCAAAAAAGTGAGCGTTAAATATTTTCTCATATTAGCCCTGTTAGATTCATGGGTTTAGGACTGGTAATGTTGGGCGATTCATGAGTTGAAATATCTCTATAACTGAGACACTTAGTTCAGTCATTCATGTCCCCCATATGGTTGACCCCTACTGATTCTCAATTTCTCACTTTTCTCCACCATGAAATGTCATTATAATGATTCGAACACATAATAAATAATCAGATGCATATAATGGTATTATAAATGCTTTTCTTTCTCTCTCTTCATTCAAAAGCGAGCACAACAACTGCTGCTCTCTCTTTGCAGTGACATTTGAATTGAGTGTGTCTACAAACAGAAACAGACAATGCGGAAAATGTATAACTTTAGCTTTTACCTTTAAGGGACAACATGCAGAGGAACATTTTACTGTTACGGTAGAGTGAAGCAGGCAGGACCCAAATGCAGAATAAACTGATAACACCTTTATTTCAAGGATATTAATAAAACTCGGACAAACAGAACACTCCACGGTGAACTCAGTCACCAACAAAAGACGAACCAACACTGAACACAGGAAGAGACAAGACTAAATACAGGGAGGGGTAATCACAAGACGAGAAAACAGCCGGGCAGGGGAGGAGAAACACAAGGGCCACAGGTGAACACAATCAGACAACTAGACACACCAGGGAAACTAACGACGGGAGGAAAAACACAGGAAGAAGGACCAGACAATAAACAAGGAGGAAAACACGACAGGGAGAACTGAAAAGCAAAATAAACCCAAACCTAGACATAAAAACGTGACATAACATAAATATCGTGACAATTACACATGATTTATTATTATGCGGGAAAACCGAGCAGATTGCGGCTCTCTGTTTTCTTAGTACATCACGTTATCTTATTGTTCTTCTGTTGACTCAGATGAGTTTCGGCCTGTCTCTCTGTCCCACTGACCGACGCAGCTCGACTTCATGAAGAAGAAGAAAAGAAGACATACTTTATTAATCCCTCACGGGGAAATGTCTTTCTCCACTCTGTTGTGTTTACACAAATGTTAAACAGCAGCTCGGACTCATGTTGGATAGAGAATGATTCTCACTGTGTTTCTTCCTCCAGGCTGGACCATGGTGGAGAGCAGAGGTTAAAACCAGGTTTAAAGAAGTGTAAGTGTGGATACAATCAGTCAGATTCACTTTTATAGACAATGATGATGGTTTTAATATTGAATAACTAAAACATTACGTATAACACTATAAATTGTGTCAATAGAAATGCATAACACACTGCTACCTGCAAATGTATCCATATTTATTACATGGCTTAGTTGAATACTCAATTCTGATTGGTCTATTCAGAACATGTGACACGTTGTTAATCCAGGAGTACAGCCCGTTGTCAAGGACTTATTGACCGTTGTTAAGGACGCTCACATCTGCACAAAGAAGTCCGGTCGATTTAACTGTTTACAGTTTGGACGAGCTTTTCGGACTGTTTGCTTGTCTTTAGTTTTCCGTTGTCTCCCGTCTTAGAGCAACATGGAGGATTTTAATATTCATTTTAATATATTTGGAGAGCACAGTAATTTGGATGAATGGTTAGTGGCAGATGAGTCCCCAGCGAAGAAAAGAAAAAGACAAGAGGGACAAGAAAACAGCGGAGAAGTAACGAGGCAGAAACCCTCCTTTTCACCCAGCGGTCCAGACATAGACATCAGACGGCGACACATATTCAGTGTGCGGTTCCTTTGGCATCAGGGCAGGGATATATAGATACTTTACAAGCTTTGAAATAATGAATTGTGCTACTTTTAAAGCAAGTGGCAATGTTTTCAAATCTGTAATCAAAAAGCTCAGCAAAAACGCTATCGAACATTTCAGAGACAACAAGTTGTTTCTCCGAATTGAAGCGGAAAAACACAAAAGCATTGCACACAATTTAAACCTATCAATGTCGTTTGATTAACAAAGATAATCTGGTGTGTTTGAGTTGATGAGTAGTGGAGATATCACTGTCTGATCAATCAACAGTAAAGAGAATACTTACTTCCGGGTGTATAATCCTCCGTTATCCAATGGGAATGGACGCTCACATTGCCTTTAACAGCCGCCGACATGGACCGATGCGGTGCTTCCATGAGCGTCAAATACCGCCGCCGATGGGAATACATTGCAATCAGTTGGAAGCTCTTTGTGTCCTTTATGAAGCTGAAGGAGCCTAGGAGCGTCACAACTGCATGCCTCGGGACCCTGACCAAGCGTCGCTCCTGGACGTTCAGGGAGTGAGACTGTGTTGCCTGATCAGCCTGTCAGGTGTTATTTTACCCATAATGACCGCCTCGCTGCACATTATCCCTTACATAACCTTCATCACATATCTGTACATATGTTCATTCACCGGATCAGAGTTTAACTCAAGTTGTTTTTGTTATTTCCATTGATACCGTTAATACATGTTTATTCTTATTTTACTTTATTTTGTATTATTTTATTTGTATTCTTATTATCCCCTTGTTTATTCCCATGTGTACTATCTGTGTTGCTTTCTTATTGTATTGCTGCTATGACACCTGCTTTTCCATAGAGGGATCAATAAAGGTCCATCTTATCTTAGCCATCTAAATATCAGTACACAAACTAAGACTGAGTCTGATGATAAACTGCTGTCTGTGTCTCTCATCAGATTCCTGTGGACTCACCCTGGACTCAAACACAGTGAGCAGAAAACTCAAACTGTCTGACAACAACAGGACGGTGACGCGTGTGGAGGAGGAGCCATATCCTGATCATCCAGAGAGGTTTGACTCCTACTGGCCTCAGCTGATGTGCAGAGAAGCTCTGACTGGTCTCTGTTACTGGGAGGTCGAGTGGAGAGGAAGGGTTCATATATCAGTGACTTACAGAGGAATCAGCAGGAGAGGAGAAAGAGAGGACTGTGTGTATGGATATAATGATCAGTCCTGGAGTCTCGACTGCTCTGATCGTTACTCTGTCAGGCACAATGACAGAGAAACACACATCTCCTCCTCCTCGTCCCGCTCCTCCCTCTCCTCCTCCTCTGGTAGAGTAGCAGTGTATCTGGATCATCCTGCTGGCTCTCTCTCCTTCTACAGAGTCTCCTCTGACAGACTGATTCACCTCCACACCTTCAGAACCACATTCACTGAACCTCTCTATGCTGGGTTTGGGTTTGGGGTTGGGTTTAACTTCTATGGTTCCTCAGTGTCTCTGTGTTCTCTGTAAGAAAAAACTTCCTGTCCTGTGGTGTAAATGTTGCTGGTGGACGAGGCTTCACTATGGTTAACATTTGGCTCACTGATTGTGTCTTTACAGACAGAAATATATATATACTTTCTTCTTCCTGAAATTGGTGCAATGATCTCCTCAGGGCTGAACTTGCTGTGTAGAAACGGTATTGACTTTGTCACCTAGAGTGAGTGAAGTTTGGATTAATGACGTTTATGTCGAGCAGCATGTGGATGCTAGAGTTTTTAAAAAGCTGTCATGTCGGATTGCTTCAGCGATCATTCAATTGTTTATTGCGTATGGAAAATCAAATGAATTAAACTGCCTCCAAAACTAGTCAAAATCAGACAATATAAAAAATTGAATGTTGATTTATTTATTAATGATGTTGTTGCCCTTAATTGGGACAGATTTCAACGAATACCTTTTGTACAAGATGCTTGGGATTTTCTGCATAAAGAGCTCACTGACGTCATGAACAAACATGCACCTGTGAGAACGGTTAAGGTCAAAGGTCAACATCTCCCTTGGATCAATTCTGAACTCATCAGTCTCTTTAGGGAAAGGGTCGATATATCGTCATTCAAGAAACTATAGCCGATTGGGAAGTATACAGGCATCTCCGAAATCTGAGTAAAACCAAAACACGAAATGCTAAATCTAACTACTATAAAGAATCTCTCACATCGGACTTTAAGAATCCCAAGCATTAAATCTATTTTAAAATAAATCAGGTAAACATTCTATTAATAAAATAAGAACTGCTGATACAATAATTCATGACCCATTATCCATTGCCCAAATATTTAATCAGCATTTCGCTAATGTATGTTCCACACTACTATCTGACTCCTATGTGACGACTGGTATTTCTAATAGTAACTCATACTGCAACAGTTCTTTTTCCTTTAAGAAGATCACGAAGTTCATAATGCTATCACAGAATTAAAAGTGGATGGCAGTGCAGGACTCGATGGTATAGAAAACAGGTTCATAAAATGAACGTCCCATATTCTCATGTACCCACTTGCTGATTTGTTCAACCTGATACAAATAATGATAGACCAATCTCTATAATCTGCTCTATTTCCAAAGTTCTGGAGAAAATAATTTATAATCAACTGTCACATTATCTCAACACTTATAATATTGTATCGCCGGTTCAATCTGGCTTCAGGCCTAATCACTCCACAACAACTGCCCTACTTACATTTACAAATGACTTGTACTCTGCTGCAGATGATGGTGAACTCACAGGTGCCATTTTTATTGACTTGACAAAAGCCTTTGATTTCGTTGATCGATATCTGCTCTTGATAAAACTTCACGGCATTGGCCTTTCTAATAATACAGTGTTATGGTTTAACTCGTACCTTCAACAGTAGAAAGCAATGTGTTGGTTGTTAATGGAAAACAGTCTGACCTGTTGATCCAACAAAGGGTGTAACCCAAGGATCACTCTGGGCCCACTTCTGTCTCTATTTACATAAATGATTTATCTTCTTGTCTCATTCATTGTTGTACGCACCTTTATTGCTGATGACACTGTCATATTACATCCAAATCAGATTTTCACAAATTCAGATCTCTCTTCAATCGGATTTTAATATCTTACAGGACTGGCTATCACACAATAAACTACTGCTTAACAAAACAAAATCTTATACCATGGTCTTTGGTACCAGGCAGAAGCTCAGATCCAAACCTAATGTAGTAATAACATGTAAGGATGGCACTTCTCTGCATGAAGTTGATAGCTTTAAATATCTTGGTGTATGGCTAGACTCTGAACTTTCATTTAAACTACACATAAAGCATGTAATACAAAAAGTCAATTACGGAATCGGTGTTTTACACCGATTCCGTAATTGTTTTACGCTCAGTGTCCGAAAGAGAATTGCTTCTCAACTTATTCTTCTGATTATGGACTATTGTGATGTTGTCTACCAAAATGCACATAAATCAGATCTTGCTCCACTCAACATAGCCTACAACAGACTATGCAGATTTGTTCTTGTTGTCCTTTTCATACACATCGCTGCACAATGTATAACCAACTTAAATGGCCTTCTTTAAATGTAAGAAGACACACGCATTGGCTCCATCTGATATTTAAATGCATGTATCTTAACTATCCCCCTTATTTAAAGCAGTATTTTGTAC